AAGGTGGTATTATTGCCATTTTACTGGCTGGAAAAAACAAGGAACTGAGTCTGAAAGAATGGTGTCTCCTCCAAGCCCGTTGCAAAGTACTTTACATCTTCCCTCAGGTTCTGGTTGTGGTCAGGGGTGGAGAGCAGAGCCTGGAGAGAGATTATGGGGCTGGCTCATCCCGCTCCTTGAGCCCAGGGAGTGGTCAAAAATCCTGACCCTCTTCCCAAGCTACGTCTCAGTTCCCTCTTCCCCTGCTGTGCTTCTCCACCCCCATCCAAACCTGCTGAGGACGAGGTGGCTGCTCCATGATCTCCATGTGACCTGGCACTTTGACACTGAGAAGAGCAACTTCAACCCGAATGACTGTAGGAGGCATTGGGGGCCAATGGGTAACTGCAGTGATTTATAGGAGAGTGCTATCATGGTTACAATGAATACTACACAAATATGGGGTAACAGCTGTGAATTAGTGTCAACTGGTGCACCTCATGTAGCATTCAGAAGTAAGCCAGGAAACTTGGGGGAAATTTGGCCCCACTTATATCCATGTCCTATGTGGCTGCCATGCAGATCATGGCATTCCACGGTGACACAACTTGTTCACTACCCTTCTCCCCATTCAGATCAGATCCTTGCTCCCTTAGGGCCGGTGTAACCACTCCCACAGTCATGTGCTTTTCTCGGCACTTGAATCTCAACTCGAAAAACACAGATCTTGAAGGAGGTATCGGGAGAGGGAACCTGAAGAGTCAACAAGACATGAACAATCATAGAACTGTTGGGATGTCAGGTATTATTAACAGACTGGAACAGGGAGGAAAGTCCTGTCCCTTCACTTTAAATAGAGGCAAAGCATTGAGTTTATACATAATCATTCTGGCTCTGTTGAAAATTAACAGAAGAGGCTCTCTTTGCCCATGCCCTCCTCCTGCATCTCCTGCACAAAGCTGCTCCATGGGCAGCACAAGTGACCCAAGTGTCCCTGGAGCATGCAAGGGACAATCCAAGCCTTAGGCACTCCGGCAGTCTCAGATCCCTGCTCCATCAACTCCTAATTTTCCTCTAATCACTCTGTTGTACCCCACCCCCACCATCTTGCCATCCTCTTCACCTTCCTGGATGATCTTCTCACCGCTGGCCAAGTGCATGGAGCACAGAGCACCACAAGCTTCCTCACTGATGCACCCAGAGCCCATTCCCCACCACAGCGTGCATGCTGCAAGGCTGGTGGAACCCCTCTGAAATGAGTGTCACCCACAGAGGACATGAGGCTGGTGGCTGCTGGGAAGCTGTGCCCTGGTAAGTCTGTAACCATCAGCTCCACATCTGTGAAAGACGAATACAAGCTCCAGTGATCGATTCCAGGAGTGCTCTGCAGCTCACTTCTGGTCCTGTGTGTTTCTGCATAACTTACCTCTTGTGACAGGGGTATCCCCCAAGGAGACAGGCTGGTAGCTGGGGATGGGAACAATTTTCATAATTAAATTTTAATGTGCTAAGACCTTAGAGCTAATTGCTGTCATATGCATGTCCAGAAGTAAACTCTCAAAAGCATCTTGGGCTGTCAAGGGGCCTGGTGCTTTCCCGGTGTTTCCAGAGAGTTAGTTTATGTTTTAAAAGGCATGGGAAACACCCTGGGAATTCCTCCACAAACCTGCCTGTGCAGATGGTCCTCTCCCTGCCCTCGGAGTGAATCCCAGAGCTACTGGAAGCAGGACCAGATTCTTGGCTCTGCCTCCTTCAGCTGCTTCACTGCACAAAAACCACCTGGAAAGTGGCCATGAAGAAACCATGCAGGGGTACACCCAGGGAAGCAGGTGTGTGGAGAGTTGGAAGAGAGCAAGTGAAGAGCCAGGCTGCCCCACTAACCACAAAACACTGTTACACGGGGGAATATGCTGAGATCTTCAGGCACCGAGCCTTCAGCCAGCACCCAACAAAAGGAAAGGCCAGATGTGGCCTCCTTGGCTCCCTGCAGATGAGAGCAGACTGACAACAACCAATGCTAAGCAGTAGCAGCTGGTGCTCTGAGATCTTCTCAACTGATGGTAACATCCCTTTATAAAGAGACTTCGCAAGTGCACCTCTCCCAGGGGCTCTGCTCTGCAGCATGGCCAACCCACACCCTCCCCATGGAGGCTGATGCTCCTGGATCTGAGCTTCAGTGCCAAGACCGTTAGAAACCAGCTCCATAAGCTGATTTGTCTCTTCTGCCAAGGTCCTTCCCTTGCAAAATTAACTCAGTCCATGCCTTCTCAGCCTTGGAGCTTTCCAGGGTGGCAAAAGATGATGCTGAATCAGAGTCTCTGAAAAACTGGAAACTTCTTCATCATTCCAGACCTTCTCATGAGCTGCCTGGATGTCCCTCACTTCTGAGTGCCCTGGGTGGAGCTCCATCAGCAAGGAAACATCCATCTTAGCTGGCCATGCGGCTGAGCTTGTGCGGCCACCGCTTCACACCATATCCCACTCTTGCACACACATCGCTTCTCAAATGCTCTGCTGCACAGACA